TTGGTATTATTACCGTTTTGTTTGTTACAGTTGTTCTGGTTATGGTATTTTATAGCTACATTTATAGACTATTTTCTGGCATCCTATTGTATTGATTGTATATTTATCTTGTTATTTCATTGTAGAATCATGAGATTTCAAAGCTTAAAGTAACATATACAGTAAAAGAAGGAGAACTACCGTATAGCAGGAAATTTTGGTGAATTTGGCGTTTTGATAGCCATTCGCCAAAATATAATCTGCTATTTTGATCTATTATATGCATGTTCAATGTCACTTGTGGCCACTAATTCACCAAATTTTGTCAATTTGCCAAATTTAACTCCTCCCGAAATTTCCCACTATACGGTAATTCGTCATATGGCATGGGCTGTTGATGCAATTATTGTGTGTTAATTTTTTTAATGTAATTTTAGCTACATGTGATTGGCAATTAATACATTCTATTGTGTGGCGGCAGATTTGATTTTATATTGATCTACATGTACATGTATGTATTGAATTATGTTATGGTCTGTGTGCAATACACACATACACACCTGCATGTTAGTGTTGTCCAAGTTTTAATTTTACGTACTTTTACTTAGTTATAGTTTCAAAATAAAGATTTAGTTAGTTAACTAAAAGTTAATCTGACCGATAACTAAAAGGGTTTTATATAGTTTTAGTTATAGTTAACTAAAACAACACTAGCATAATAAGTCAGCAGCTTGTTCTAAAATTATTGTGTTAAATAGTTAGTTAACTAAAAGTAAATCTGGCCTAACTAAAAGGGTTTTAGTTATAGTTAACTAAAGCAACACTAGTATTATGCATGTAGGTTAGCAGCTTGACACTGTAACATAACTTTTGCTTGTTTTCAGTCTAAATATTAGTGCACTCTTAGCATTAATTTAATGATATTAAAAATGTTAAAGTAATTGTATTCAAGTCATATTAGAATACATGCAGTTTAGTTGATAGTAACTTCTGTCTTTTGATACATCATTTCCTCTCCTTTCTTATTGTATGCAGTAGCTTTGGCATAATACCTACCCTATGAAATAGAATAGTATTAATGATACACTGTATCTGTTACTCACTGGCCAAAAGAGCTTTGGTACATTACGTGTGTAATTTATTTGATATGTTCCTGGTGTTATTGGGCAATGACTGTTAGTCAAATCGACAAAGAAATCACATAAATTAAATTTGTCATCAATGAAAGTAATATTAGTATAATTCTTAAAATTATATGCCATTTTGTTATGCAGTATGCCCCATTGTATGGTTTCCCCTAAAAAAAGTGACCAGTACTAATGAATGTATAACTTACTTATATGTAAAGTTCCTTTCAAATAATATGCCTTTCCACGAGTCACTGGATTAGGAGTTAATGATGCATTAGTGAATATAACAAATTTTCTAGTAACAGCTTAAAATTAATAGAATAAATCAATAGTGTAAATAAATCAATAGTGTATTACTGAACTTACAACAATCTGTGAATCCTTTACTGCGAGTAGGTTCTTGTTGTTGATAGTATATATAATTCAAATAAGTATATTATCCATTAGTATAGCAGTCAGTATCTTACCATTGTAGTAATTGTTAGTAGATCCAGTCAATGTAGATACTACTAGTACAACTGATAGAAGTAACAGTATATACTCTACTAGTCTACCCATCTTCTCTGTCTGCATGGCTTTAATGTAACTTGTTATTGCATGTCATATTTATTGGTTATTGTTATCATCATTGTGTTGTTTGTTACTGTTTTTCTGTTATGTACAACTGCATTACTGTTAAATTAAATCCTACACTACTCAATTTTATTTAATGATTTAATATAATAAGTTATGGTTTCACTAGTTTATAGTAACTTCTTTCGTTAAAAAAATCATTTGGTCTCCTTCTGCATTGTAGGCAGTGACTTCCAAATGATACCAACCCTATAAGAATGATGATACATCTTATATATACTCTGAATGATAGTGTTAAGCACTCACAGCCCAGAAAAGGGTTGATACAGTACTGTAATAGCTCAATTGATAGACTCCTGGTTGTAGTGGACAGTGTTGCTTGATAAATAGCACACTCATATCACATAGATTATACTTATCATCAACAAAAGTAATATTAAGATAGTCCTTGAATTCATGTGTCAT